ATTAATATCATAGGTGTAGTTTTAACTGATAGAGTTAATGCTAATTATATATCCATTAATTTGAAAGACTAAAACATTAAAATAAACATAAATTAATGTTCATTACTTGTCTTTACGCATAACAACAGCATCGAGACAACAAACTTTTTATGGACGTACAATTATCGTGCGATGCATTTACGTTCTATGGACGCTCTTAAAATCAAGGTGAGCTGGTCATTTTTATAGCAGCTCTCGTCCCCGATGCACTTTTTAAATAATTTCAATTCAGAATTTATTACGTTCGCTTTTTCTTAACATTTTTTTTGCATTTTCGTAAACTGTTATTTAGGAGACTCCATTATAATTATAAATAAGTTGCAATCTATTTAAATTATCTCAACAACGGGTACATATTCAACATTATTGAACAATCATAATAAACTTTAAAGTTTCAGTAAAACTTTAACACATATTATTTATAATACATATGGTATCGCTAAAGGTTATTAATGTTTTAATTTATTTATAATTAAATGCAATAATTTTGTCACATTTCTGACTATTCTGACTTTGAAAAGGTTAATTATAATTATGTTAAGTGATAATTAAGATATTGTCCTCAGGGACATCAAGATTGATTCCATCAAAAAATACATAAAGGATAGAGAACTGAAATTATTTGTGAAAACTGACAGACTTACCAACACCGCGTTATCAAATCTCAAAATGGTTACAGGCTCCTCGGGAGGTATGCAGATCTGAGGTCAATTATTGCTTAGTCTGATGAAATGATAAACAATAATGTAGTCAAGGGGTAAAGGGGGGTTTTGAAAATACCTCGAGTTAAGAAAGAGTAAAAGTGCTTAAGTGCACTGGCTCAAACAGCTTCAACATAATATATTAGAAGAAAGATTAATAGACAAATGATATTAGTTAAAATTTTAAATGAAGATTTATTCGTACTATATTTTCTATGGGAAACTTTTAATTTACGGGGTATTTAAGAATAGCCGTAAATTTTTTCTTTCAGAGTAACAAAAAAATAATCGCAACTTACGAAAGAAAACATGAAAAGCAACAACAGTGCTAGAAAATAAGTTCTGGATTAGCAAAACTATTCAGTAGATCAACAGATATAACATTATAATTATAAAAACACATCATTGCTACAGAAAATAATGAACGTTTATAAAACTTTCTATATACAGTGTTGTGCATAACAAAAGCAACCAAAATTTGCCCATCAAATAAATAAGTTTTTTGTCTACTTTTTACTTTTCATTCAAAAATCTAAATACACAGTTTTATTTGTTATTGTATTAGCTATTATAAAAAAACAACAAAATCTACAATTCTTCATAACGGGTTAATTAATTCACACAAATAATAAAATATTGCGAAATGCGGCTGTGCAAAACAATAGCAACTGAGACAAGATCAATGATAGATCTATGACCAAAGTGCATTCTAGCAAGATATTTTTTTGATTTTTTGCATTTTTATGCTGTGATTTATGTTTTTAAGCAAATTAGAACATAAACACAGAATAGTTCAATATTAAATCAGGTAATGGAAGTACGTTTTATATATAAATATATATATAAATCTTATATTGTCACATATTGTGACATTAAAACTGAAGTAAATGAGTTATTACAAGGCGATTTAATTTAACTATCTCTCTCTCAAAGACCATATAACTCTCATATATCCTAGTACCCGTGGGAGCAAAATATGTCGACTAGTAAAATAATATAGAAAACTGAACAAAAGATAGTTAATAATAAATTCTGACTAATTCTCTTAGAATGCGTGCTGCTGGTTTAACTAGGAAGAACTAGATTTTTTCTACACTAGACATGATCAGCTCATTCCACCAGATACCTTTCTCTCTATATGCTCTACGTAGAAAATATTGTTATATTGTGTGACATATATAACAAATTTATAAAACAATGACAACAGTTTCAAAAAATAACAAAACAAAGAATGCAACCGATTCAACATTTCTACGAAGAATAATCAAAGCGTTAACAGTGTATATGGAAGTATCAAGGTACTTCCTGATATTCTAAACAAAATTATGTAGACTAACACATGCACTGATAAAATTATTTGCTGATACTTATTTACATGATTGTTTAATAACACGGTTTCCGCATAGAACAAAATATGGCTTACAAGCGAACACATTTAGTTGTAAATTTATATATTAAAACTTCAATAAGAGTTTATACACATGACATACAAATGTTGGAGATAAAACTAGTTTTAAATTTTTAAGTTCGCTTATGTGAATTTCACGTCAAGGCAGGAACAAGCGCGAATGTTGATAACGCGTTGATTCATGTGGGTCAAGGTTCCTCCATATTGCAAACTAGGTAAGGTAAGAGAATGTGAACTCATACTGATTAACTGGTTTTGTGTCAATGGAGAGATTTGGTTAATAAAACAAAAAAAACTCAACAATATTTTTAACTTGATCATTCTTGTTAATAGAATAATTCCAAATTATGAATTGCAATCAAAAATGATTACTTATTTTTAGGGCAAATATGTTTTACAAAATAAATCATTTGCAAACCCACGAACGATGGAGCTTCTGCAGTTACTTTCATTACAATATCAAAATATGGTTCAATATAATTATAATAACATTATTGTACAGCATCAAAAAAATTAAGTTTATCTATACTATTATTGTTGGATAGCCTCCTAGCCTTGTTGGATAGCGCCTTAATAGGTTTACTTTAAAAACTAATATATTTATAATAAGTGTTAATAAACTTTTCCTTATTCGTTCATCTATTTTTATTTATCGAAATGAATAAATAAATAGAATGGCGATTAAAGGTCCAACTTGAATAGAACATTTGGGTCAAACAGTTAAAATTCCATCTAGTCCCTAAAATACTAAATTGTTCAACTTTAAAAGCTTTTTCCTTAGCTTCTATAGAGACCGAGATCGATGATCGAGCAGCTTGAATGGAACATTTAAATCGAATAGGTTCAATTTCATACAATTTTCAAAATACTAATTTGCCCAACATTAAAAGTTATTCTCTTAATTTTTACAGAGAGACAACTGATGTTACAAAGGAAGATTTGTTGTTAAGACCCCATAAATTTTTCCAATCATTTTACACTGGATTGCTAGGATATTGGTACCCCACTTGCAACGCCAAGCTGCCTATTAAATAAAAATATCTCAGTATATCTAAAAAAAAAGTTAGGCAAATGTAAACTCGTGTGAGATCTCAAGATCGATCTGGTCAAAACTGTTCAAGAAATGTAACAGTCAGAAATATGTTTAACAACAATTGCCGATGTTGACAGGTCACTATGTACTAGAAAGACATACTATGATACTGGATCTACGATATAATGACTTTTGGTTGTTGGACTAAAGAGTAGGAAAAATCTGTATTTTTCGTTCTATATTAACTCCCATGTTTGGCCAATAGAAGATTAAAAATCTTTGGGGGCCTCTTCCTACCGTCGTGATACAAATATCAAAATTAGACAAGTTTATAGACTTACCAAGTTGGTTCACTTTTACTAGATTGAGGTAGTAGCCATACCTTTTAGCTTTGTCTGTAGACCGCGATCCTTTTGTGGGTTCTTTTGGTCTGTGTATAAACAATGTTAATTCGTTTTATTACAACGAGCCATTATTTGAGCTCAAATGAGCTTTGTTGTGCAAGACTACCACTGTAACCTAATGGGTTTTTTTCAATAGACATATTCGTATAAACTTTGAATTAGTTTAAAAATTGATCCTAAGATCAGATTCTGTAATGCAAGTAGGAATAATCTAGTAATGACGAATATCGATATAATGAATTATATTCTGTAATATATTATTTAAAGTTAATAGTGAGCCTCATTAGAATGATCTTTTGTATGGTACAATAGGGGATATTGCTTTTGATAAAGTTATTTCAACATAGAAATATTTTACGTACATGATTCTGTTGCATTTGTGATAGGTATATAATTTTGACATGATAAAGATTTGTTTTATATGTTTAGTTTAGTACTCATAAATTAAACATCAACGTTCTATAGATAATATGGTAAACAGTATAATAACCAAACAGATGGTACATATTTGTAAAGGAAACTCAAATTTGTTATCGCATTTATATTTTCTGAAATGCAATTAATGTAAATAATATGGACTGCATTATCCCACAGCAACGATCTTTTTTGAGTAATTTAAAACCTATATAATACACAATTATTAGTAGCGTTTTTATATCCATAATTTTTTCTTTCAGAGTAGCATGTGACATGTGAAGCAACAACGATGCTCTTAAAATCTTCAGAGTTAAGTTTTACTCATAGAAAATTTTACGTCTTAAGTTTCAGAGCAACCAAAATTAAATATCTGTCTATTGTGAATGCTCTCTGGAAATATGTTGCAAAATTCTAGTTATCCGTTAAGATCATATGAGCATTTCATTTACTAATTAATTCAAATACATAAGTAAATTAATCAATTGAAATATATAAGATAACAACGCTTATCATTGCCCTTCTAATATTCATTTTGTTTTCTTCTATTTAAATTAATTAGTTTTTAAACTAATTTATGTCAAAAAAGACATTTAACATATATTAAAAGTGATGCCAATTTGTATCAACCAGGTTTAATGCTGTATTTTTACAACTCTGAAAGAAAAAAATTCGGCTTATGTTGTTACTACCAACTGTGATGGAAGGGAAGTTATACAAGTTACTTGCATTGATTCAGTGTATTCTATAGAAATATCAATGATATTGGTATGTCGGAAATTATTCTCTTTAATTGATAATTTTAATAATTTACATAACTTGCATGTCTGTCAGGCTGTGTGAGTTTGAGTTAAAATATCTATAGACACAATAAACTAGAAGCTCTCAGATCGCATTCCTATACTTTCTTTACTAAAGTATATCTATATATAAAAAATCACCTAAAGATACATACAGAAATGACTCAAACTTATTTATGCTATTGGGTGATCGCAAAGGAATTCCGTCTTTTCTCAATAGAGGAATTAAACAAATTGGAGTTAGTTGGAGTAGTTGGATTGTTAAGTGGAAAAAATCGTTTCGTTGGTGCTTCATCTAATATGGGTCGAAGTAGACACTTTAGATTTATTTTATTTTTTACTATCAAAGCAAAGAAACAAATTAGTAACATTTATTATGCTAACGGTGAACGTGAATTGAAGGAACGCGTTAGTGGTGAGCTATAAAATTCTCCAATCACTTGTATGTGATTTCATTCCTACAAATCGAATATTGAAGATGTGCCACGTTCAGAAAGGCCAACAGAACCTTATAAAGACGAAACAAAGGCATTTACGAATGTAAATCATTGAATAACAACTTGTGAAAGCACTGAGAGATTACATTTATTGAATTTAACAATTTCTGTTTTAATTATGTAAAACGTTTGGGTTTAATTTCAAAGTCCAACATGAATGCTACATGTTCTTATAAAAATAATGTGGGCAAGTCATCAATGAGACAAACAGAAGTGAGTTGTCTACAACAATGTTTAGCGCAAACAGTTTGATATAATAAAGGTGAACTGGCTGAGGAAAGCACTTCGAAATACGATTTGTATCAAAATGTGTTGCCAATAGAGAACAAGAGCAAGTGATTTTTGATTAAATAAACCCAGTAGCGACAATTTTCTGTCTTAGACACCAAATAAACAAATTCAAATAAGCGAATATATTTATATGTTAATCTATAAAAACAAAAAAAGCTACACGTACCTTTACAAGCCGAAATGAGATAATATCCACTCTCACATATATCACTAAAATCCAAATGCACAACTGGACGAGTGTGTCCACTGCAGGTCAAAGGTATCTGTCGCAAATTCGAGGTCATATTTACACGCAATAAAAATGATTTGATTTTATAAAAATTTAGTATGATTTTTTTACTTATTTGATTATTGAATTTATATTTGTATACTTTTATTTTCAAATATTACTGACGACATATAAATAAATATCGCAAATATTTAAACAATAACTTTTTGCATAAAATATATAGAAGTTAACTTAAAACGTGAAAAGTTCTTTCTATCACACTTCGCAATACTTTAAATTTTAAAGACACAACAAATTTTAATAATTGCTTTTTGTATGTTTTTCGTATTTTGGTTATTACTAGAAAAATTTATAATGTTTAATACATTAAAAAACTTCTCAGTAAAACGAAAATTTCTACCCAACGACGACGGTGACGGTTTATAAATGAATAAAAAACAAAATACTCAGATAATTTTTGACACACATCAGAGTAGCTTCAAAATATAAAAAAGTAGCAAACTAGGGTTACCTTCCTCTTGCAGAGCTTGCAGAGTCGAAAAGCCGCTGTACTAAAATGTGTCATTAATTCTTTGTGTATATGTGGCGGACATTTATCTTGCCACAGAATATAAAAATAACTTAAAATACGTTGATAAACTTGAATCTTTTATCAAAAAAATATTATTTAAACGGAACAAAATGAGATAAAATAAAATACATTAAAATACATTGATAAACTTGAATCTTTTATCAAAAAAAATAGTATTTAAACGAAACAAGAGAAACATCAGTGAACATAGTGGGAACTAGTACTATACATGGAAGTAACCTACTAGATATATATTAGCCATAATTTTTTCTTACAGAATAGTAAAAAAATATTCGC